TTACACACGTCCGTCCACGGCCATGCGTAAGCCACGCCCCCTGCTGCTGTATTTCTAACAGTTTTGAGCGAGGGACATTAAAAAAACCATAAGGTTTGCTAGCACATAAATGGCTATTCTAATGAACACAGCTTCTCCTTATTTACTAAATTTCACTTTGTTAGGCAAACAGCCTCAAATTCTTGAGTAAAGCAACCCCATATTCAGGTTGGAAATCATTCTCAGGACTGATGCAGTGCAGAGGCTGCTGCTATTTTACAGTGACCAGAGGTCTGCTGACAGGACAGTCCCTGTAGGATTCTGGACACTTGGCAATTATGGGTACATACCCAGATTGCAAGGATAACTTGCCACAAACTTGTGGCAGGGTTAAATTGTAATTCTTTTTAACTTGCTGCACATATTCCTGGCAAGTTGTAGACTTGCAGAACACTTGCAGCACAAGTTCTAGTTGACACTTTTTGAATTTGTAGCAAATTTGCTTGTCAAGTCTACAGCAAGAGTCCTGCAAGTCTTAGCAAGAGCTCTGCAAGTATACAGCACTTTTGCAAAACATGTTGATCTGGAGACTTGTAATGCAGACTTGCTGTAATTGTGCAACAAAATTGTGAAGCTTGACAAGCCTAGCAATAGTTTTGCTGGGTATAAGACAGGTACCTGCTGCAGGTTTTCAAGCCCAAATACAGCCAAAACATGTATGTTAATTTTAGGACAGAACAGAAAAGGGTTAGCAACGCCAGGCGGGCAGCAAGCAAACAAGACTAGCAATACAGCGAACATAATTAGCCCCCAACCAGGGACTGTTCCTGCAGCCTCCCCCATGTCTCAGACTCCTCCTCTCTTCCTCCCCTGGCTGCTTATAGTGAACTATGAATGGGCTGAATAGCGATGCTGTGTGTGTGCAGCAAAGGGGAGTGGCGGCGGTGCGCAGAGCTTTGCGTGCAGTGTGTCTAGCAATATCTTGTTAATATGCATGGTAATGTTTTCTTGCACAAGTTCCTTCTGTGACATACAGGTGAAACTCGAATAATTAGAATATCGTGCAAAGTTCATTTATTTCACTAATGCAACTTAAAAGGTGAAACTAATATATGAGATAGACTCATTACATGCAAAGCAAGATAGTTCAAGCCGTGTCATATTTGTCATAATTGTGATGATTATGGCTTACAGCTCATGAAAACCCCAAGAACCCCAAATCCATAACCTCAAAAAAGTAGATTATTACATGCAATCAATGAAACAAGGATTGTACATAGAACAATATCGGACCTCTGAAAAGTACAAGCATGCATATGTACTCAGTACTTGGTTTGGGCCCCTTTTGCAGCACTTACTGCAATTACTTTTGCACGATATTCTAATTATTTGAGTTTCACCTGTATGCCAGGGATGCCTGAATCTATTGCCTTGAAGAGGCCTGAGTCTATTGCCTTGCAGAGGTCTAGCTGTATTGCCTTGCTTTAGTCTATTGCCTTGGTTTGTTCCTTCCTTTTTTATCGGATGAATCGAAAAAATAATTGGCCAACTTTGATTACGAAAACATTCGTTAGTTGCAGCCCTACATAATTGTATTGAGATTGTAGTTCATCACAGGATTTAGTTTGGAGAGGTGCTGACACTGTCCCTCCTTCTGGAGGGTGGCTAATTTTGCTCCCTATGTTATCAGTGTGTTGAAAAATAGCCACCCTCCAGAAGGAAGGACAGTGTCAACACAAATTCAGAGATGATTTGAGGAGCTACAGTCAAGTGATGCACAAATAAGCTACATCACTCCTGAGTTTAGTAATACATTTGACCTGCAATGCTAATTAAATTCACTCAAAGTCAAATATTTTTATATTGGAGATTGTTCCCCACTCCCTCCACCACCTTTTACGTACATATATGTGATACATCTCCTTTATCTACAGGGGATATAAAACAAGGCTGCGAAACTCCTTTACGGTACACTTTCATGTTGTTCATGTCACACACAGAGAACTGAACTTTCTAGATAACGTGAGACTTCCATGAAATACATTTTCAATCAACCTCGTGTCACTGCGTAGCAAAAAGTAAATAGGCGTTGCAGCTTATTGTGTGGTATAGTGGGTATTGTAGTTCTTACGTCACACGTACACATACATGTGAACGCAGCTAGGTACTAGAAAAAACTACCTCGTGCGCCGTGCGCCTGACTACGTCAGTGACGTCGCGGCAACACACGCGGAGTCGTTGAGTGAATGCTGAGTCGGGTTACTGCAGCTGTATTAGCCGGGTTTCCTTTAGATTACTAGTGGAAGCTCCTGTTAAAACGATATCGGAATCGTTACGGTGTCCGCCCCTGCCCGCACACATCTTAAAATGATGGACAACAGCGACTCAGCCCCAGATTCCTGGGAACAGGCAGATATAGACGTCCCGGAGGCCCAGCTGGACTCGTCCCTGGCCCGACTCAACGTCAACGCCAAGCCGTTCATCCCCAACGTACACGCCGCAGAATTCGTGCCTTCTTTCTTCATGAAGAGCAGCGAGGCCGTCGACGGGCTACAGGATGAGGGTAAGGACTGGAGCATGAAAAGCCAAGCTCCTCAACTGCTTGCTGTGGGTGCTGCTCAGCCAGGAAGGGTGGTGTGGAGGTCAGGCTTGAACTAGCATTAGGTTACTATGACTGTTGACTGTGGGACAAAATGAGACCCAGATCCTCTGATTACTCCAGATAGTGTTTTCTTCTTTTGGCTCTATTCACACCCAGAGGCGTAACTAGTCTTCCTTTCCAGGCCCCTGGGGGTATAACAATAAAGGCATGCTGGGACTTCCAGGGAACTACAAATTTCATCATGCCCTCATTGTCCTTGTACACCCCCACATATAAATCACCCAAATGTGAATACCTGTTTAGAAGTCCAGGTCAGAAAGACAGTCAGTCTGCCAGAGGATGGTTTCTTCCTTGCTCCCTCTCTCTCTGATGTAACTTACTCTCACTAACAGGAGAGGAACAGAGGGAGTGATGACAGCGCCACTGGCCGCCAGGAGCGGGCTGTGTCAAGGACCCTGGCGGGCAGGATGTGGCCCGCCGGCCGTAGTTTGAGGACCCCTGTAGTAGACCAATAATGGCATGCAATGTCATGTTGCAGTTCCTAAAGCAAGCAAAATACTTTCTTGTATTAACTGCTTGAAGACCAGGTGTTTAGATCCCCTACCTGGCCAGGCCATTTTTCAGTGTTCAGCGCTGCGGTACTTTGACATTTATTACGTCACGCAACGCTGTACTGAAATGAATTTTATACCATTTTTTTGGGGACAGATAGAGCTTTCTTTTGGTGGTATTTAATCACCACTGCGGGTTTTATTTTTTACTATATTCAGGAGAAATTACTGAAAATTTTGAGATTTTTTTTTTACATTGTGCTATAAAACAACTATTACCCACTTTTTTGGTAAAATATAAAAGACGGGGTCACGTCGGGTAAATAGACACCAAACATGTCAAGCGTAAAAATTGCGCGCACTCGCAAAATCGCAAAAAACTAGCATACCCAAAATTGGCCATAGGCGACGCTTTAAAAGCTTTTACCGCTCATCAGTTTAGTGTTATCAGTGATTGATGGCCCTAGAACTATTGCTCTCATTCCGACGTTCGCGGCGATATGTAACATGTGCGGCGTAATGGGTGCAATCGTCGTTTTCGCAGGTATGCGCACCTGACGCATGTTTACATGCGTGTATGTAGGGGTGGGGACTTTTAAAAAAAAATTGTTTTTTTTAATTCTTTTTTGTGTAACTTTAAAAAAATTGGGGGGGAAACTTTAAATTTTTGTATTTTTTTTTTTTTCACTTAACTTTATTGCTATCACAGAGGGGGCTGAGAAACCCCCTTATGTGATAGCAAAAGAGGTGACAGGTCCTCTTTATGGAGACATCAGGGGGTCTCCAAGACCCCTAATGTCACCTAGGACCCCCCTGAAGAAGCTGATGAAGCAGAGATCTGCTTCATCAGCTTCTCTCCAGCATCTGAAGCTGGAGAGTGACACAAGAATGCGGAAGTGATGTAATATACAACACTTCCGCATTCTGACAGCGGAGAGCGTGTAACGATCTCCCTCTGATCCCCTGGGACAGAGGCACTATGCTGGTCCCGGGCTCACACCGGAGCCCGGGACCAGCTTGACAGCGGGAGGGGGAGAGCCGCGGAGGGGGCGGGGGGCGCACGTCTCGGGGCTTCATACAAGCGATCCACCGACTCTATAGCCGGCGGGTCGCTTGTATATTAACGGGCATCGCTGCCTCTTTTCAAATAGCGGGGATTTCCCGCCCGAGCGGGCGGATGTAACAGGACGTGTATACACGCCCAGTTACATCCAAGAAGCTCCCGGCAGGCCGTGTATACACAGCGGCTGGCCGGGAGGTAGTTAAAGGGGTATAGACTCCAGAGAGAGAAGGAGAGACATCCTGTCCCTGTACAAAGCATTAGTTCCTCATCTGGAATGTGCAGTTTAGGTTTGGGCACCAGTTCACAAAAGATGTTCTGGACCTGGAGAAAGTGCAGAGAAGGGTAATTAAACTGATAAGAGGCATGGAGGATCTCCCTAAAGGTGCCCATACACCTTACGACCATCGAAAGACCTTTGTCTTGCGATGGCCGAGGGGCGGGCTTCCGATGACTGCATTGAGGGGCGGGCTTCCGGCCTGTTTGGCAGTTGTCGAACGAGCCTGCTTGTTTGGAAGACGTGCGACCGTACAGTAACGGTCACACGCCTTCCATACACTGTGATTATCGTACGATCACGGGATTTCTCGCGATTCTCGTACGATAATCGTACAGTGTATGGGCACCTTTTTATGAGGAAAGATTAGCTGAACTGAATTTGTTCTCTCTTGAGAAGAGGCAATTAATGTAATCACCATGTATAAATGCATAAATAGTCCATGTAGTGTGCTTGGTGCCAAATTTTTCACTTAAGGGTCCCTGCAAAGGACAAGGGACTCTCTGCATCTGGAGGAGAAGCGGTTTAACCTTTGCATACAGAAATGATTCATCACAGTTAGAGCTGTGAAAATGTGCAATAAACTCCCTCAGGAGCTAGTTCTAGCTTGCTCCATTAGCTCCGTTTTAAAATCTGGATGCATTCCTAAATGCACAGAATGTTACTAGATATTAATTTCTTATAAGTAAAATAAACACCAGGGATTTGTTGGTCCAGTGTATGTCTGATTGCCTTATGGGATCAGGAAAGCTTTTTTTTCCTTATTGGAGCAAAGTGAACCATGCTTTATAGGGGTTTTTATGATGAAAGTTATTCCACGCTATGGATACTCCTACTTTAAACAGATCTAAAGCTGCTATGCTAAAAGCATAAAGCTTTCAAGTTATAGAGTAATTTGTGCACAGCGCTAAATATCCACAGTTCAGTTGTCTGTCCAATAGTGCCAGTTAGATATATGAGATGAAATAGCTTTAACCAAATCTAGGTGCCAGTGGATAACCAAATAATCATTTTGCAGCTCATTGTGTATAAAGATATTTTATTAAAAATCAAACACTCACATTTAAAACTTTAAATCCATTATGAAATTCTACCACTAGATGTCTCCAATTCAATCAATAGAGGGTCACATATAAACATTGTTAGGAACATAATATATAAATGGAAATAATATTTATTTCCATTTATATATTATATTCCTGGCATTGTTTATATGTGACCTTCTATTGAATTGGAGGAGACATCTAGTGGTAGAATTTCATAATGTCGAGTACCAGTTGTTAATTATAGCACTATATAGAGCAGGGAGGAAGTGGTCTTAATGAGATCTGCCATCCTTTGAAGAAGCCTTGATGACGAAAAGTGTTAGTGGTAGATCCCACTGACGCTGTCCTGAGTTCCATGAGATTATGAAAGAAGTGTAACGATCAACGACGGCCGGGTTTTAAAGTTTTAAATGTGAGTGTTTTGATATGAATTTTAATAAAATCTTTAGCAAAGGCCGTTTACATAGCGTAGTGCATTTCTCACAGGTTGCCTCTGTGCACTGAAAATAATATTGGAATTTGCTTAAGATCACTTATGCTGATAATGTTTCGGCCTGGATGTTAGCCATCCCAAAACTCTGTTACTCAGTTTTGGGATGTAGGGTGAATGTACATTCCCCTATACTGCAGGTTGTGTAGATAACCTGTATGTATTAACACTGTTTTTGGGTGACTCCCTTTTGATAAGTTTACAAAAACTTTCAGGTTTGCTTAAACATTGTGGGCCAACATAGCAAGTTTTATCACACATGATAAGGTAATTACTTTTAATAACTGGCTCAACTTTTCTATGTTTACAACTCTGCCATGTAGCTTATCAGTAAGAGTTTGCTGTTGATAACTTGCTTGTTAAATACTCAACCGCCTATTTGATGTATAACCCCTTGCTTTTCATTTTCTCCTCAGATGCCACACACAATTCTGCACAAGAAACGTTGCAATCTTCAGAAGGTATTTTTTGTGTGTGTATATTCAGTATACAAATGGCATACTATATTTTGTGGCGTGAGCCCCTTGGATAAGTGCTAAGTTTAGAATGTGGGCTTGTGGAATTAACTTTGTTAATTACATATTAAGTGGGTTTTGTATTTTGAGACTGCACCGCTACTGAGCTTGGTCTATCCTATACTTGAAGTTTTCTCCCCTTTTATTGCCATTTCAGACACTTATACATATTGTTTTCTTAAATCTAAACACTAGGTAGGTATAAAAAATAATACAGCTCTTTTATTATTTACTACTTCATTAGATATATTTTGTAAATGCAAGAAGTACCTAAATTTGACCTGGTATTAGCCTCTTGCAAACTGCTGTACAGCAGAACTCAGTTTGCTAGGGTTTCTGCAAAAAGAGGCCTGTCAGTTGTGCTGCCTTGCACATGTGCTAGCAAGGAAAGCTCTTCCATTAATTGTCTGATTACAGGCTGGACCAGAGACCTGTATCTTCAGCAGATAAAAGTCACATCTCCTTCCCTGTCAGACATGGGATGTGCTATGTGGCAGAGCTGTGTAAGTACCAGGGCTGGATGCCCAGGCATACTAATCCTGGCAGGTACAACTGCTCTCAAATATGCATTTCTTAGTACTTAACTGTTTGACTGGAGTATAGCTTTAACCTAAAAACTGACAGGTTTGGTTCCATGTATTGAACTGAAAAACAAAAATCAGCTGTGTATGGGATGTAAATCTAAATAGTTTTTTTTCCCCTTTTCCAGCTAAATGTGTGGCAGCCTACCAGTTATTGTTAATAAATTATCTATATACCTTCAATAAACTTTATAGTCTACAGACTGCTTAATTTTTGAGAGGTACAGTAAATGTTTAAGCCATACTGCTACCTACAGCAGGTATGGACACTGGCAAACAAATAACTGAAAGCCAGCCTGCAATAACCCCTAATACCCTCATGCCTCATTAGTTTTGTACCCAAGCAGTATCATGAGCATAATCGTAAACATGTGGATGGAACTTATGTTCCTCAATGGACTACAAGAAAAGCATTTTAAGGGGAGTACAAAAATATATTTTTTTTCTTTCTCGCCCAATAACTCTTTTGCTGCCATATGTCGCTGCTATTGGGCCTCCCTAAACAGACTCCCGGCGGGTAGAGGGATGTTGACAACATGGAGAGGAGTTTGGACCTTACTGAGCAGCTGCTGGCAGAGGCCAGCTTAGAGGAGGGTGGTAGCATGGGCTAACAGGACCCAGAGGTGGGTAGTTGGGTAACAGAAGGTGGGGTAGAGGATAAAGAGCTTGGTCCTGAATTGCTACACCCCAAATAAATATGCCCATCTGCATGATGCTGATATCAGCTCATGGGTAGCATTGCTGGAGCAGAATACCTCCCCTAGCTGCCAGGGGATTGACTGCTCCAGTATAGAGCAATTTGGTCTTTAAAGCAGTCGTAGTAGGCTATTGTGAGGCCTTCTGGGCCCGGTCTCTTCCCTTTTGGAGAGTGAGCTAATGGCGAGAAGAACTTCCTGTTCTGTGATCGGGTCCTCCAGGACCTCTACCTGTGCTGGCAGGAGGGAGGGGAGGGCAATATCAGATAAGCGGTCTGTATCCTCTGCTGGCATTGGTTTGGGCGCCGAGTATAGGGAGGAGAGATGCTTATGGATGAGATCAAGAATGGTAAGTGGGTTACTAGTGGGAGCTCCAGAGGCGGTGCGTAGCCTATAGGGTTTAAAGGAAGGGTCAAAAGACCGCAACCTATTAGCCAGTAAGGTGTCAGCTCTGTTTCCTTTAAGATAGAATTTGTGGGCTGTGCGGTGTAACTGCTTGGCCGCGTGCTCAGTTAATAATAGGTCTAGTGCTTGACGAGCTGTTTCAAGTTTTGTTGGACCGCGTAGGTGAGGTGGTGAAGGTCTGTGCACAGGAGTAGTATTCCTGTTCCAAGGACTGCAGACGTTTGAGTCTTTCTTTTTTTTTTTTTTACTTGGTATGCCAGTTGGATGAGTTTTCCTCCAAGTACTGGTTTGTGGGCTTCCCGTAGAGTTGGGGATATGTCCGGGGTCCGATTGTGTACCACATAGTCGGACAAGCAGGACGCTATGGTACTCTTAATTGTAGGGTAAGATAAGAGGGTGTCGTTCAAGGTCCATGTGAAGGGTTTAAGTTGTGGGGAAATACCCGAGACAAGCAAGGTGACAGCAGAGTGGCCGGACCACGGAACGGGGAGGAGTTAAGAATGCATGATAGAGGGGACTAGAGAGTGGGAAACGAGTATGGTCTATTCTGGAGAAGACAACATGTGGGTGAGAATGTGTGAAATCTACATTTTTATAAGGGTTTACTTCTCTCCAGCAGTCAATGAGTGCGTGGTTATAGATAAGGTCACGGAATGCTTTGGACGAGGTCAAGTGTGTTGGAGTATCTTTAGATCTATCT